GTGCAAACACAACTAACGTAAGCACGCAATACTTGAGGGGCCGCTCTCGCCATGTTGCAGTTGATGAACTGTTGTCTCATGGTAAGGTTAGCCGAACCATCGGCAGGATTCTCCAAGACATGTGTTACAAAGTTGTAAGTGCGAGGGTTTGGGAAGACTAGCCCCGTGCATTGGTAATTCTGGGCAAGTTCCAGGAAACATACAGCGTGGGTCAACATGGCGCAGGAGTAGGAGGATCAGGAATGATGGTGGTGGTGGTGTTTGGGGCTGACGGTCTCGAAATCTCTCGCGGCAGAGAGATTTCGAGAACGTCAGCCCCAAAACACAAGCGTTCATCCCGATCCTGTTCGACATCTATGCGGTCGTAGTGGGTGTGGGCGAGGGTGGTTGTGCTGGGAGTGCTTAAGCATCGTAATCCACTGGCTTATTAATGCTTGCAGCAGTGGCATGACCTTGGCACAGCAAACAGTGGTATTTGTTATCGTTGTGATGTTCCTTTAGTTTAAGCAAGCAACGATAGCTTTCTAGCTCACCTGGGCAATGGGGTAGCACCCCTAACCTACATGTCTGATAATTCTGAAATCTTTCAGAGCACGCATCAAGAGAAGCCCATAAGATGACCGAATCTGAATCTAAACTATTGGACTATCCAGTCTTGTTCTCTATACATACATACATAACACACACATATACATACATACATATATATCTATCTATCTATCTATCTATCTATCTATCTATCTATCTATCTATATATATATATATGTACATACATTTATGGAAGCGGTGACCCATTAAACCAGAGCGACTCAGAGTGAGAATTCGACCACCCAGGCATTCAGGTCAAGAGCCAAGCGACCCTGGAGGCCTTGGCGACCAGAGTCGAGGCGGGAGCTTTGAGAATCACAACTTTCAGGGTTAATTCAGAGGGTTTAGAGGGTGTATAGGGGTTTAGGGGGTTTATAGGGTTTATAAGGGTTTGTAGGGTTTAGGGGTTTTAGGGGGTTCAGGGTTTATAGGGTTTAGGGCTTAGGGGTTTAGGGTTTTGGAGTTTAGGGTTTTGGGGGCTTGAGTACTGGAGACCCAAAGATGCAACACACGCTTTGAAGTCAATCGTCATCCGGAATCCACAACGCCGTGTACCTCACTTCTCCCTTGCGAACGAAGGCCACACGAGAACGCTGTATGAGCACCCTTCCCCAGAAACCCAAGATGGGACTCTGGCTTTCTTTCGCAGGAGGTTTCACTCTCGTGCCGTTGGGTTTCTGCTGAGGCAAGTCTCGACAAAACAGTACCCGAAACCTTACATGCTGGTGAGTGTGTACCAGCAGGAATGGAAGGAAACGCCGATCACTTGCAGGTGCATGCGGTGCAGACGTTTGACTACATGCAAGCAAGGCAAACATGGCAGGTAAAGTTTAAGTTTGAGGTCTACGCTACTGCTACAAGACTGAGCTAGAGACTGCATGTACCGATGCTTCAGACGTCTTCAAGATTCGTCATCCTAGGAGCAAAGAGGAATTGGAACCCTATACAATCCTATAACATCCTTTTTCAACCCAACTAAATCCCAAACCTTGCTTGGAACCCTACAAAATCCTTTAAAAACTTAAAACGCATCTAATCCCCAAATACTATTCCTTGGGAAAAAATTCCGAAAGAATAGACTAGCCAGGCCCGAGCTCGAGTTCGTCCACAGGCCTGGGGTTTTGGGAGGGGTTGGGGTTTAGGGTTTAGGATTTAAGGGTTTAAGGGTTTAAGGGTTTAGGGTTTACGGTTCATGGTTAGGGGGGCTTCCGATGCTCTCAGGAGGGACTTTCTTACCTTTGGTCAGGAGGGAATGGAGGAATGGGGTACAATATGGCACAAGTCTGACTACGATTACTACCATTCTTCCATTCCCTACTAACCAAAGGTAAGTACTCTCAGGAGGGACTTTTGGGGTCCATCTTCTCTGCGATTGTGGCGCCGGCGCGCTGCTACGTAAATCCGTTGAGACACACGAAGACGAGCGAAGCCGAGCGAAGACGGGCGCAAAGCCAGTGAAAACACAAAGGCAAGCAAAGATGAACCAACACAAAAGGGCGAGCTAAGGCGTGCAAGGAGCGCTCGAAGGCCCGCCAAGACGGAGCGATGCGCGAAGGACGCACGACAACACGCGAAGGCACATTCATGAAGACAGACGAAGTCGCACAAGGACCACTGACAAACGCACCACAGCGAAGACATGACAAGCCGACATTCCAGGCATGACCGAGTCTGAACTCTACTGCGCCCCCGCTCTCTTCCGGTAACCAAGCCCAAGTCCGACCTCGACCTCTTACCCCGGCCTCCCTTCAAGTCAAGAATTGGTCCAAATGCTGCGAGCTTTCCTGTCACCAAATCCAAGTAAAACCCCAACCAGGTCCAAGTCCAAATCCCCTCGGCAAGTCCCTTCCTCGCTCGCCGTCACCCCCACTCTGCGGAGGATGGCACCAAGGGAAAACTGTACACGACAGCCACATGTGTAGTGTATGTAGCTTTTCGGGTTTAGCAGGAATCATGAATGAAAGATGCTTCCTGCGCACATGTCCAGCCGTCACTCGACCTCCGACAAAACCCATCTACGTTTCCAGGTGTTGAGGCCGAATCCAGACATGTTGGCACGATCTTCGGTACTCCGTCCAGGAAGTTCTCCAAGCATTGGAACTGAGGGCGGCCTTGAGGACCTTGAGGTTTCATGTTCTTTCAATGCATTGAAGACCATGGTCGCAAGTCGTGCCATGCGCCCCTCCAATCCATACACTTTCCATGTTTGGTGATGAATGACTCACTCCGTCGTTCCCAAGGGGTGGCTATCTTCAGCAAGTGTGTGTTCCCAAGGTTGCTTACCCAGTGCTTTCCTTCAAAGCGGTTTTTGGGGCGACATCGCAACCACGACAGGCTTATGGGCCGCCAGGGCAATGCCCAACAGACGTGAAGGGCACGAGCCAATCTGGCAAGGACTCCGCAGACGAAGCGGTGATTCGTTGCAAGGCTTCAAGGCAGAGCGGGATTCTGTTCTTCGCCGAGTGTTTTCGGCGAGGAGGAGTTCCAGCTCCTCATCGGCCTGGACCATCACGTGAGCGGTGAGCCGATCGACAACGCCTGTCCAGCTTTCGCGCCTTGGCGAGTTGTTGCGTATCAAGCTTTTGACTGAAGGCTCCGGGTCTAAGTAGCTCGGTTCGCAGAGACATCGTTGAACTCCGTCCTGCAACCTGTCGAAGAGCCCAGGTTCGCTTTGACCCGAAGTACCGGGACAAGCACTGTGGGCTATAGGGTCTAGGGCCTTGGCGTTGATCAGTCAGCTTAGCATCCCGAAGCTGCCGCTCATCACGAAGAATACGAAGAACTCTAGGGTCACTGCAAGCCCCGGCCCTGCCGGCCCTGCCGGCCCCGCTTTCACCTGGAGGACAAGTTGGAGGAGTTTACCGAGCCGGAGAAGCTGCGAATCGTGAGGCAGGTTGATCCTGGGTGTGCTGCACACAACTTCCTGCCGATAGTGGCATGATACCAACTCCCAGCTCTCAATCACGCGTTCTGTTCAAAACGGCCGCTTCCAAGAATTTGTTGGTCCAGTCTCAGCTTTCCAATCTACACAACTGCAGCCACATCCCAACCACAACAACGCCCCTTTGAAACCCCTTTTCTCAAGCCTTCGTTTGCAGAATTCGAGAAGTCTGAAGCTCAAGATTATCAAGGGAGCTTCAAGCCCCTTCTCAAGCCCCCTTGAAGCTCCTGGAACAATTGAACCTCTTTCAAGCCCTCCTCCAACAATTCAGACAGAACATGCCTGCCGAAATTGCACCGTTGTGGTTGAATCTGGATTCAAAGTCGGTTCGGGCCAGATTCGAAACCTTCGTTCACACCTTTTTCAACAATTCCCTCAGCTTCTTTGCAACGCTGGCTTCTGCATTCGAAGGGGGCTTGGGTCTGAGCCTCAAAGGGGTGCGAACTAACTTAGGGGCGTTATAAAGGGGTCTATAAGAGTTACTATAAGGTATCTATAAGGGTACTATAATACGGGGGCCTTAATAATCCTATAACTTACCAGTGGTTAGCAGGGACTGGAGGAATGGGGTAGGGTAGAATTGTAACTGCTATTACTACCGTTCTTCCATTCCCTACAAACCCACGGTAAGTTAACTTCAAGGAGCTGTTCACGGAAGGGGGGCTTGAAGCTTTACGAAGCGACTTCGTTTGATGCAATCACCCCCTCCGCAACGCGATTTCGTTCGTTTCAATCTCTGGTTTTCCCTTCTTGTCCAACTTTCACTCCTGCGCTTCACAAAGCGATTTCGTTTGTTCAAGGCGAGAGCGGGGAGGTTGGCGGGGCTGCTTGAAGCTTCGCAAACGAGGTTCTCGAAAGTAAAGCCCTACGCAGAAAGAGTCGCAGAGTCACAGGTTGAAACTCCGATCCAGACCTGAAGGGCAAATAAACCCGAAGTTCCGCAGCGAGCCCCGTCAAATTCCGATGCCGGGAAGGCTCTGTGCCACCCCCAGCCTTGAAGCAAGTTGCATCTATACCTCAAGCCCGAGACCTTGAATCTGCCAGTCAGCGAGTTTGTACACTCCTCAGGCGAGCCATTGTACAGAAGATCCACTTGCAAGAGCTGGAGAAGGTTCAGAATCTTGGGTTTGGGGGCTTTACGTTTCTATGCCCCAGGTCCACCCACCCACCCACCTACCCACCCGCCACCCGCATGAGTTGCGTTTGAGTTTGTTTCAGGTCTTGAGAGGAAGGGCACTGGCGTTTGGGGATGCAGCAGGCGGGTGTGCTGACTAACTTCTTTGCGGCGCACGACTGGGACAAGCTGCAGGACCCACTGAGGAACGTAATGGGAGGCACGAGGTGAAGCCACAGCTCATAGTTTCGCATTCTGAGCTTGGTAGATTCTTCTTGTCGCTCTGGGCGGAAGCACAAATCCAGAGTTCGTTTTCGCTTTCGTCAGGACCTGTACAGCCGTGGCTGGAGCAACCCGATGAGGCGATGTACTGAGAATACACTGCCCAGGTTTATGTACTGCCCATCTGATAGATCCCTTATGGTAGCCCTTATATAGACCCCTTTAAAGGGAACCCTATTCTCATTATTAAGGCCCCTCTATTATCTTGCCTGCGAGTCCCGAAATTTCCAAACTAGGCCTTGGGATTGCAGAGAACAAGTTATATAAAGACTTTGAAGTTTCGACTCCAAGGATGTTCATGTGGCCGCGGCCCACCATGCCCGACTACCTTGCCAACTACTTCGGGATGCAGGTTGCCTATTTCTTCCACTTCTATGCGACATTTGCAAAGTTCCTCGGCAGAGACCTTGCATCCTGGCATTGACCCATGCCAGAGGTCTTGAAATGCACGTGACAAGCGCCCGTACAGCGTTGAAAGATCAAACCGTGCACGGTTCATCAGGTCGGAGTTCAGGGTCTGACAGGGGTTTAGGGAGATTTTCTGGCGGAGTTCATTGGAGTTCAAGGTAGATCTTGCATTTGCGATGAGGTGGCTGCTGGCTCCAGCCATCTGCAGTATCGCCGTGCTCGGTGCCCGCTACAGTGGGCAACTGGACAACGACCAGGCTCGATTAGCACGACGATGCGAGGGTTCGATACACGACGCAACTTGGAACCTGCTAGGTTAGAATCGCAGCAGACCCCGCAAGTCTTTGCTAGTGCCCGGAACTCTAAGTTGCAGCGTCCGCCTGGAGCCACAGGGAAGCTGATGGCGGCCAGGAAGTTGAAGCATAAGGCATAAGGTTCTCAGACTCTTAGCAGGGCCCTATTTCTCTGCCCCCGCACCCGCCTTCCTGACTCCTCAGATTCATGTCGTGAACACGGTCTTCGGCTTGGGCCTGTGCCTTTGGACGACCTGCTTCCTGGCCGCTCAGCGCAATGTGGGGCCTCCGGCTGTGCTCGCCTGGGGTTTAGTGAAGTTTAGTGATTGGTGCTTGGATGAAAGGACTTAGGGAGTTTATTGGGGCTTCAGGATTTGGGATGTGTTGGGTTGTGGTTAAGACCCTTTCGCGCTGCAGTTTTGGTGTGGGACATAGCGTTGCGGCGTTGCGCCGCTTGCATCCGCAGGGTTGGTCTGCTGTGGGGAGAACAGAACGAGTCGCTCAGTGCCGCTTCTCCGAGCGAGCGCGGCGTTTAAAGCAGCTTTTTCCAGATTTCTCTCCTGTTTGGGTCGTTGGAAGTTGAAAGTTCGACCCGTATTGTGCGCACTGAATGTATGTGTATTTGCGTGTGTGGGGGGGGACAACACCACGAGCCGAAGCTTCTCTGATCTTAGTGGATGTTTTTAAGTGTGTTTTGGGTCGCTGAAAGCTGATACTTTTCGTTCGGAAGATTGTTGGGCTCGGAAGCACGCTGTGTGGGGTTGGTCCACGGTTGTCGCAACATTTGTCAACAAAAGCCCGGGACGACGCGAGACCGCATTTTCAATCCCAAGCCCAGATTGGGATCCCAAACCCCGAACCCAACAAGCCCAAAGGCCAGCTACAAGCAGAACCTACAGTTCAAGACCATGCGTTGGGGCATGGAAGGTGCCGCTGCAGCTTCAGCCGCAGCTCCTTGATTTCAACGTGCAAGTGCTTACTTAAGGTTTAGGCCTCAACTTTCGGGCAGGGTACACTGACCGGGTTCCATACAGCTTGGGCATCTGTTTCTACGTCTTGGTGCATCCACTGCTTCAGCTGCAGTGTTCTTAGCTCCCAGAGTCAGATTGGAAGAGCTGTGCACCAAGTTCTTCTCGAAAGCCTCTCCACCTACAAGCACGGCCGAGGTCCGAAAGCAATTCGACGACAGGCTGCGGGGCACCGTGTGGGAGACCCTCGAGCAGGTGGGTGATTCGCAGCAATGGCTTCGCTCACAAGCTCTTGCAGAAACTTAAGTAAGAGACATAGGACATGCCGAGTGTGTCAGGTCTTTCACTGGTTGCTGTGTCTGATCTTTGTCGCCGAGACTATCGGGGTCATTGCATATCTCAACACGAGGAGAAGTGAGGCAATCAAGAACCCAAGCGGAGTTACTTTTGGACTTTCTAATGCCGTTGCCGTGCCTCTCTTCAAGTACCTCATCACCATCAACATCAAGGTGGTCGATGCCGTGTGGATGAAACTGTCCCCGTACCTGAGCAATATGGAGAACTGGCGAACGGACGTTGAGCTCAAGTCCGGCATGGTGCTGAAGCTCTTTGTGGTTAAGTTCGTGATCTTCTATTACCCCTTCTTTTACACTCTCTTCATTCAGCCGTATGTCGAGGGCTGTGATGGTGGCGAAATCCAAGGCGGCCTTGGGGTTTACCTTGCTGCAAGAATCCACGGAGCCCCCAGGTCCCCGCAAGAGAAACTTCCCGCAGAGAGCAACTGCCGCGCCTATGGCCCAGAGCGTTCCATTGCATAGCCATGTCAGTTTCATCTCACCGCTTGAGTGTTGAAACGGCGTCCGCAAACGTTCGATCAGAGCTTAGACCCGCGCTTTGCCAAGCAAGTCCTCCCTATAGCAGCAACTGTGGCCGAAAAACCGAAGAAGCGACAGAAGACACCACATGAGCAGCACCGTCACCCCTAGCCCATGCAGTCCCAGGGGTACGTCGGATTTTGCAGGGTTTCCTGTTATTGTTCAGGGTATGTTTGCCGAAGTGCTCAGTGTGGCAAAATTGACGTGTGGTCCTTCAACTGAAAGAACTTTACTCATACCCAACAGCAATCACAGACAGCAGCCGCACAAATAAGAGAGGGGCGATTTCTTAGGAGTCCGCTTATCCGAGGAGGCCTAGCAATCATCTTTCCTAAGGGGCATGGTATTCCAGCAGCTACTCGGGACCTCAATAATACGAATCTTTGGGGGGCCTCAATTATCAGTCAGATCCGGGGCCGCCAAAGATAACTTTTCCGTTTTACAAGCTCAGCATTCAAAGCCTCTGAAGCCTTTCTGAACCTGAAACCCTTCGAAAACCTCCAACCTTGCTGAATGCCTTCTGAAACCCTTCTGATCTATTCTGAAACCCTGCTGATCTATTACTAAGCCGTCCCTGAGTCTTCATTGAATTTTGAGTAAGACCCAATCCCTCCTATTGAATTTTGATTAAAACCTCGGATCCAGAATGTGCTCGGAGGGGTACCCACCCTACACTAAATGGGTCCCCATTTTGGTTTGCGGCGGGTCCTAGCAGGCCCCAGCATTACCGACAGCAGCCTTTTCGACAAGGCTAACGGCACGGACACAAGTTTCACGAATAGGTTAGTTGCAAAACGAGCAAGTTATGTTCGCCCCAGACCTTAATGACGGCATGCCGTCATGTGCAGGCGGCTTAAAGTTGTCATGCCACAAAAGAGCTTCCTTGCTGAGCAACATTGCAGGCTTGGATAGAGATGAACTGCGTACACGGTCGTGGCTTTGTTGTGGGCCGAGGTGTTTGGCTTGCAACACCACGCAGTACCCACAGCAACCCAAATCGCGGGCAATGGGAGCAAGAGAAACAACAAGAACAATTCTGATCTCATTGATCTCATAAGAAACAAAGAATGCTTCATTTTCGACGTCTGCGCAGTGTTTCTGCCATCTTCAGGCCCAAAGCTCCTAGCAGCAAGTGTCTTTCGAGCTCTGCCACACGGGAAGGGTTCAATTTATTGTTGAGGGCATTTTAGGGGCAAGGCCAAACTAGAGAAATCACCAGAGAGACGACGATCCTCTTGGACCTGTGAGACCCACACGGTTTTTAGCGCAGGTTGTTTGGACCAAATGCGGTCCGACCTTGCCATGTTCTTCGTGATCCAGGCCGGGCATGTAATGCACTAGCACCAAGAATGTCGGCAGACGTCCAGGATTACCTAACTTACGATTGGTTAGTAGGGAATGGAGGAATGGGGTACAATTATAACTCGATTACTACCATTTTCCATTCCCTACTAACCAAAGGTAAGCTAAAGATCCCACGTGCAGCTACTGAACCCTTTACCCTAAACCCTAAGCCCTAAGCCGTAAGCCCTAAAAACCCTAAAAGCCTGAAAAGCCCTAAGCTACAGTGCAGCAGGTGATCTCCGAGACCGCAGAGCTGCTGATGATGCTGGCAATGACGTACTGGAGCATTTCCTCAGAGCTCCGCAACAAGAAGAAGAATGCTTGTGCCTCTTCCGAAACTTCAGGTGACCTTTGAAGGAGCTGATGACTACTCTTTTTGCTGGGCTCTTTCTTTCGCCTGTGGCCTTGGAGAGTGCGTCGGAAAATAGGGGAGATTTGCGATTTGGCCTCTGTCCCTCTTAGCCACGAAGGCTTCGCCGGCGAGAACGGGGCGAAGGGCAGCGACTACTTGAGCTACATGGAATATCAGGCCAGGCTCAGGAAGTGTCCAACCTGCAAGCTGCAATCTTGAGCTCTGGGCCTTAGTGCTGCCCTTGTTCCGTGTTAGAGCTGCCAGTTGAGGCAAGATGGCTGTACTCCGGAGCCTTTTCCGTTTCCATCTCGGCGTAACCCAGAAATCTCCTGTCGATGTGATCGCAGTGCACATAGGATGAAGGACCTCGCGCTCAAAGCAGAAGCAGTACTCTTGAACTGAAACTTGTAGGACTGCTTTCTTCACAGTCACGACAGCAATCCAGCGATGATCGCAGTCCTTGCGAAGGCCTTATGTGCCCCCTATGCTGTGACTGAAGAAGTTGGCGACTACATGGAGGTGGTTTTCAATTTTGGCTTCATCGCGATGTCCATGCCTTATTTCGAATTGTGAGCCGTGCATTGTAACGGGTGCAGGCAGCCCCACCCATGTCGCAACGGTCCGCATGTTAGAGCGTGGGTGTCTAGATTTGCATGTGACTTGATCTCTTGGCGTATTTTCTTCGTGTTTGTCATTTGCAAGGGCATTGAGCGGGATTGGGGGAGATACGAGCGCATGCTGGCAAGCGTGCACAGTAATAGCGCAAGCCACGGAATAATCGCGCAAACCTTGGGAAGTAATGGCGCAAATGTTGCAGCGCAAAACCTGCTAGCACTGATCAGTAGTATAGTGTGCTCATGCCGTACTTGCTGTTCAGTGAAACGCCCGTGCCACGCCAGGCAATTGTATGGCTCTGCGACGGGTTTTGCTTATGTTCTGATATATCTTATACTTATAGTACAATGTACAATATATACATATATATATATATATTGTACTTTCCATTATACTATATAATACAATATGTATTGCAGCACTCAACCATTCATGAAGCCTTAAACCCTAACCGCTGAACATGTGTCTCGAATCCTTCCTGGCATTGGCATGGTCTTTCGGACGCGCTACATGAAGCTCGGGCAGTCTCAAGGCCGGCCTGTACGAACCATAATTGTGTGAGAGTCGTGCAAAAAAAACCATTTTGCTGTCAGAAGCTGTCCGGTTTCCCTTGTTGTCGCGTTCGGCACACTCCCGGCACACACCAGCACGCCTGGCCGGCACAGCCCGGCACACTCCCGGCACACACCGGCACACACCCCACACACACCCGGCACACACCGGCACACACCCGGGACACGCCCGGCATACTCCCGGCACAAGATTTGCATCCCGCACACACCCAGCACAGCCGGCACACGCACTCGGCAGGCCTTGGCGAAGCAGGCCACACAGCCGGCACACACCGGCCCACCCCCCAAGCCTCTCCACTAAGAATGACCAAACTACAAACCATTCTGCTGTCAGAAGCTGTCCGGCGTCCTTTGTTGCTGCTTTCTGTCACCAGCTGTGTCTAAACCCTAAGCCATTCTGCTGTCAGAAGCTGTCCGGTTTCTCTTGTTGCTGCTTTCTGTCCCCAGCTGTCCCTAAACCCTAAACCATTTTGAAATCCGCTTCCCGAATCTTGCGAGACGGAAGAGAGTCGTGCAAAAAAAACCATTCTGCTGTCAGAAGCTGTCCGGTTTCCCTTGTTGTCGCGTTCGGCACACTCCCGGCACACACCAGCACGCCTGGCCGGCACAGCCCGGCACACACACACCGGCACACACCCGGGACAAGCCCGGCATACTCCCGGCACAAGATTTGCATCCCGCACACACCCAGCACAGCCGACACACGCCCTCGGCAGGCCTTGGCGAAGCAGGCCACACAGCCGGCACACACCGCCCCACTGGCCCACCCCCCAAGCCTCTCCACTAAGAATGACCAAACTATAAACCATTCTGCTGTCAGAAGCTGTCCGGCGTCCTTTGTTGCTGCTTTCTGTCACCAGCTGTGTCTAAACCCTAAGCCATTCTGCTGTCAGAAGCTGTCCGGTTTCTCTTGTTGCTGCTTTCTGTCCCCAGCTGCCCCTAAACCCTAAACCATTCTGAAATCCGCTTCCCGAATCTTGCGAGACGGAAAAGAGTCGTGCAAAAAAAAACCATTCTGCTGTCAGAAGCTGTCCGGTTTCCCTTGTTGTCGCGTTCGGCACACTCCCGGCACACACCAGCACGCCTGGCCGGCACACTCCCGGCACACACCGGCACACACCCGGCACACACCCGGCACACACCCGGGACACGCCCGGCATACTCCCGGCACAAGATTTGCATCCCGCACACACCCAGCACAGCCGACACACGCCCTCGGCAGGCCTTGGCGAAGCAGGCCACACAGCCGGCACACACCGCCCCACTGGCCCACCCCCCAAGCCTCTCCACTAAGAATGACCAAACTATAAACCATTCTGCTGTCAGAAGCTGTCCGGCGTCCTTTGTTGCTGCTTTCTGTCACCAGCTGTGTCTAAACCCTAAGCCATTCTGCTGTCAGAAGCTGTCCGGTTTCTCTTGTTGCTGCTTTCTGTCCCCAGCTGTCCCTAAACCCTAAACCATTCTGAAATCCGCTTCCCGAATCTTGCCAGACGGAAAAGAGTCGTGCAAAAAAACCATTCTGCTGTCAGAAGCTGTCCGGTTTCCCTTGTTGTCGCGTTCGGCACACTCCCGGCACACACCAGCACGCCTGGCCGGCACAGCCCGGCACACACACACACCGGCACACACCCGGGACACGCCCGGCATACTCCCGGCACAAGATTTGCATCCCGCACACACCCAGCACAGCCGGCACACGCCCTCGCTTTCTGTCACCAGCTGTGTCTAAACCCTAAGCCATTCTGCTGTCAGAAGCTGTCCGGTTTCTCTTGTTGCTGCTTTCTGTCCCCAGCTGTCCCTAAACCCTAAACCATTCTGAAATCCGCTTCCCGAATCTTGCGAGACGGAAAAGAGTCGTGCACAAAAAACATTCTGCTGTCAGAAGCTGTCCGGTTTCCCTTGTTGTCGCGTTCTGTCACCAGTTGTCCCAGCTGTCCTTAAACCTTGAACCATTCTGCTGTCAGAAGCTGTCCGATTTCTCTTGCCGGCTAATCCTAAACCCCAAATTGCCAGAAGCTATCCGGTTTCTCTTGTTGCTGCTTTCTCTCATCAGTTATCTGTCCCAAAATCCTAAACCATTTTGCTGTCAGAAGCTGTCCGGTTTCTCTTGTTGCTGCTTTCTGTCACCAGCTGTCTCTAGACTCTAAACCATTCTGCTGTCAGACGCTGTCCGCTTTCTCTTGTTGCTGCTTCCTGTCAACAGCTGTCCTTAAACCCTAAACTCCGGCGTCCTTTGTTGCTGCTTTCTGTCACCAGCTGTGTCTAAACCCTAAGCCATTCTGCTGTCAGAAGCTGTCCGGTTTCTCTTGTTGCTGCTTTCTGTCCCCAGCTGTCCCTAAACCCTAAACCATTCCGTAGCCATTTTGGCTCAAGACTGCCGACAGCTGGCGAGTGCCCCCCCGAACTCCGGGTGCGTGATTCGCACCAGAGCGGGCACGGCCGGGCGGTGTCTTGAGCAGGACCCCCCTCGATACTTGTTCTGAGGCCCTCCTTGTTCAAACTCTCCCTGCTTCTCTTCGTCGTCGTCCGTCGGTGATGGCGGGGTCCGAGGATTCAACTCTGCTTCTGCCCAACTTGCATCGGAGTGGGGCTGTTGAAGGGCACCTGGGGGATGACCAGGCGGGGACGCCCATCAGCTCCGGGCACTTGTTGGATGCGGAGCAGCCAGACATGGACATGAGGGATGCTGCTAGGGATGCGCTCCGCGCGGCTCTGGGGGAAGGGGGAGAGGCTGGGAATGGAGATCCGGGGCCGGGCCGGGGGGTTGGTCTGGCAGAAACCGAAGCCAAGCAGGCCCAAGCGGCGGCGGTTGCAGCGAGCCTCATAGCTAAGCACGGTAGTAGTCGCCCCCCAAAAGCTTCCCCCCGTACGAGCCCTGAGAAGAAAGCCCGGCCGGCAGTTGAGCCTTACCCAGCGCCTGCCAAGGGACCGTCACTGGGGTTGCAGCCGCCGCCACTCTTTGGCGGGGGAGGGCCCCCCGACAAAGGGAAGCGACCTCTGCCTCAGGAGTACCACATTGGGGACGACGTTCCCCCGCCCTGGGCGGCGTCCCTCCAGGCGGGGATCGACCGCTTGAACCAAGGACAACAGGACCAGATGCAGGCTCTTGAGCGTAACAACGAAGCTGTTCAGGGGATCGCTCTTAAAGTTCAGTCTTTGGAGTCCCGTCAAGACACACACCTAGAAAGGACTTCGGCGTTAGAGCTGCGCTTGGCAGCACTTGAGCAGGAGTTGCGTGACTACCGGTCAAAATCTCCCAGTGCTGCTTCGGGCTTCACGCCCTCCCACTCCCCTAGAGGGGGTAGAGGCGGCGCCACCCATGACGACTGGCAGATTGTACTGGGGGGCTGGAAGGACGCTAAGCGTGAAGATATCGAGAGAGAAGTCCGAGAGTGGTTCGAGCGAGCGGAGTGTGAGCCCCTGCTTCAAGCCATGTACTGCAATTCTGTGCGAGCTAACACGTGTCGAGTGGATCTGTTGTACATGCAGGATAACCTGTCCGAAAGGCGCAAGGTACAGGGCATGTGTGTAGAGGCATTGAAGTCGGTAGCACGCGCTAGTGGGATCCTAGGACAGCCTACTTCGGCCCTGTGGGCCAAGCGAAACAGAAGCCCAGAGGAACGAGCTCGCATTCGTGCCATAGTCTCATTGAAGAACCTGGTAGCCAAGCATCTCTCTCCCCGTGACTTTGAGTTTGACTGGCGCGGCAGATTCTGGGCCAATGGCATCAGTGTCTTGGCTCATGTGGACCAGAAACGGCCGGACGAGGGGGCTTTGCTCCTGCTCGATGTCCGGGGCAACGAGACCGGGTGGTGGGTTCCTGGCCCACTGTTAGCCCAGACGCTAGGTATTCCGCTTAAGGAGCTTCACACACATTTTGAGGTGGAGTCGTCTGGGCCATAGGGTGGAGGCCGGAACAAGTCGAGAGGGATTGCCCGCAAGCCAGAATTCGTAGCATGTACCTGGAACCTTCATGGTAAAGGTCTCCGTGAGGTTGCCGATCTTTGGCAAGGGACTGTGTCGTACCCCGATGTACTTTTTGTGCAGGAATTAGGTGCATGCCCCGGGGCCACTCCAGAGGTTCAGGTCTCAGACTTCCTCCTAGGAACTGTTTCTTACAAGCTGTACTGTTGCGCTGCGCCAGAAGCACACCTCAACCAAGCCATTCTAGTCAAAGCCGAGTTGGAATTCCATGCTTCACCATGTTTTCGTGACGGGTCGACTCTGAAGCTTTTCGGGTTCATGAGCCGGGCCCTCTTAGGCGCGTCGTCTGCTTCGTCGTTTGGCCTCCTCGTTCACCTTCTTCACCACTTCTCGTCGCCTGACGTCGCTCCTCCTTTGGACTTCACCTGTCCCGTGTGCCTCGAGGGCTTGCATTGGCCCAGCCTCGGTTTAGGGGTCCTCATAGGGTTCTTAGCTTGGCCTGTGCTGGAGCTCCTGCTCTACATCCGTGCCTTCCTGCTGCAGACGGCAGCGAATCGCCTGCACGGGCGAGCTACCTTCAGTTACCGCCTTCTTTCATGAGCATCAGCTCTCGGGTGGCTTCTCTGGAACGTGAGGTTGCCGAACTTCGAGCCACCGTCGCCCGACTGGCGGCCCAACTGGAGGAGTCCGAGGGCTCTTCTTTTGATTTGGTCCAGGACCGCAGTGCTGTGCCACCGCTTCCGACTAGGCGGTCTGATCTCACCTCGAGGGCCTCCGCTTCTCCTTCCACCTACTCCCCGCCCGCCAGGGCGCCTGTGTCAGGCTCGGCCTCGCCTGCCGGAGCCCCGGCATCTACTCCTTTCAGCCGCGGGGCGGCCTGCCGTGAGATTGGCCTTTTCCTGCGCCGCTGCCTGGCGGACGACCACCGTGGACCCTCCGGCCGGGGTAGGCTTCCGGGTGGTTCTAGGTTTTGGGTGGTTGCTAGGGACTATAACGGCCAGAGCTTTAATCCGGTTCAGGTTTTTACCCGGTTCGCGGACTGCAAGCCGATTGTGAAAGTTGGGTCCGATCTGGGGCTCAGCGTGTGCATCGGGCTTCCATCCCGGGGTGACGTGATCGCTGTCTGTGCTGCCGCCGACCTCCCCTTGCCCAGCCAGTGGTGAGATGGCTCTCTCCGAAGGTGAGCCTGACTTGGACGGTGAGCCTGTGGGTGCCCGAGACGCCCTTGCATCTGGAGACGGGTTCTTGGACGCCTATTGTCCGCTTGCTCTGCTGAGATGTGGTGCCGACGAGGGGGACGAAGCTTTCACTGTGCAAGCCATCGTTGTGCGAGAGCTGGATGCAAAGCTGGTGCTGGCTGTTCCTGCGTCGGCCTGGCACAAGAAGGTCGCCAAGAGGTCTCTCCCGAAGGGGTTTTTAACCAAGGTTGCTGCTGCGGAGGTCGCTGCCTGTGCGTCCGACGACAGGGGCTCCCCGGTCGAGGGTGTGGCGTTGAGAGTTTGGTTCGGCCTTTTGGAAGCCGTCGGGGAAGCCGCCGTGGAGATTTCAGACGAGCCCGCCAGTGTGACGTTTGGAGCTTTGCCCGGCGACGCTCCTGCCCTACCCTTTGTGCCTGCCTTGGTCGCTGCCGTCAGCGACAACTACACCTTCGCTTCGGCCGAGTCCGGGGCTGGGACTGCAAAGGATCCTGTGTCGGCTCGCCTCGACAGGCTCGAGCGCATGCTTGCTTCTCTGCCGGGGGTCCAGCCGGGCGATCCGAAGACTTCGGCCCGTGCAAAAGGAAAGGCAGCGCCAAAGACCGCTCCCAGAAGTGGCGTCGGCCGGGGCGCTTTGGACCCTTCTGTTGCTGAGCCTCCTGCCACCCGTGCTCCCGACCCCCTGGAGGAGTCAGAGGAGGAAGCTCAGGAGGAGGCCGATCCTCTTTCGCTCGCCGCTGGCGCTGCCGTGTCGAACAGCCTAGTTGCCCAGCCAGCCAAGGAAGCGAGCCAGGCCGAGCAGTTCGCTGCGGCGATGTTTCGGATGATGGAGGGCTACTCGCGGGGCCAGGCCTCCAGGACCTCGGCGCTAGAGCGCGCTCTGGGCGGCGCAGGTGGTGGATCGGGAGATGGAGGCGGACTGCCCTCTGGTCGGCGCAATGCAGCTGCCCGCCGAGCCTTGCGGGACGCCTTGATCACAGGATATCACTGCCGTGATCGAGCGGCTCATGCAGGAGGACCTCGCCTCCTCAGCGCCAGGCGTTGGTATGGCGCAGCAAACCAGTGCCCGAGCTTGGGTCGAACACCGCTCGAAAGTGGGGCCCTACCCCACCGCCATGTACCTCTCCTGGTGTGCAGCAGGTGCCTTGGACGCCCTCCGGGGCGGGTTGGTCGACCAGTGCCGTGCTCGGCTCAATGTGATGCTGATGGTCATCGACCAAATGTCGGTGGATCGCGGGTCGTGGACCCTTGCCGGCGAGCTGACCTTGGAGCTTCGTGGCCGGGCTTTGTTTCCAGGCGAGCTCCTTGTCCATGCTGTTGCTCCGCCGCGCGGCCTGCTTTCGGTTGGGTTAGTCATAGACGATTTGGTCTATCTCGAGAAAGCTCTCGCCTCCGACCTTCCTGCCATCACTGCCGGGCGTGTCACCTCAACTGGACGCCGCCGTCTGGACGCCCTCCTCGAGGCCTACCGGAAAGCTCCCTTGCGTGTCTCCGACGACAAGGTTTTCTGCAACAGCACTCGTGCAAGCTTTTGGGGCGTGACGGTCTTCGGCGAGAGCGGCTGGGTGCGGCCCAACCCTGAGCGGCTATGGCCCCTGATCCTTATCACCAGCCGGGTGATCCAGCTTCAGTTGTGCACCGCCCAACTCCTCGAGTCTCTGGTCGGGTCCTGGCTCTCGATCTTCCTTCTGCGGCGGCGGCTCCTCGCCAGCATGGTGCACGTGTTCTCCGCCGTGCGCGGTCTGCAGCCTAATGACATAATAAGGGTGTCCCGCGACTTGGCAGCCGAGCTCAGCTCCTTCATTTTGCTGGGGCCTTTAGCCTGCGTCTGCTTGCGCGCTCCCGTCGATGCCAACGTGACCGCCACCGACGCTTCTTCGACATGGCAAGCTGCAGTGCGGGCGCCTGTTGCCCCCGCCGTTGCTTTGGAAGGTGTCAGGCAGTGCGTGCAAAAGGGCGCTTGGACCCGGCTGCTCGGCGACACCGCCGCTTGGCTGCGTGAAAAAGACCTCCTCGAGCCTGACCTTGAGCTGCCGGAGGGTACTGCCTACAAGGCCCCCCCTCTCTACTTGGGGCTGGCGTGTTATCCCCGTTTCGTTGAGCTTTGGAGGAAGGAATACCGGTCCCGTGTGCACATCAACATCGCCGAACTCGAAGCTTACCTGCGGGAGGAAGCTCGAGCCGGCGCTCGGAAACCGTGCCACCGCCATCTTTTCGGGTTAGATAGTCAGGTTGCTCTAGGTGCTGTGTCAAAAGGCAGGTCAGCCTCTCCGGCCCTGAACGAGCTCCTCTCTCAGAGCATCGCTCCGTATGTGGGATTCCACATTCTCCCGCATCACACTTTCTTCCCTTCATCCGTGAACCCTGCCGATGACCCTACGCGAAAGCAGCCCGTGCGGGAGCCCACTGTACCCGCTCCCCGGTGGTGGCTTGAGCTTTGTGACGGCCGGCCGGCCGAGCTCGACAGACTCACACGTAGCCTCGGTTTTGCGGTTGATGGTGACGGCTTCTGCCAGGAAGACTTGTTTCAACTTGGGGGACACGCTGGCTCGCTTCTTGTTAGCAGCTCTCAGCTCAAACGTGCCGTACGAGCACCCGGCGCTGGGCCCAGGGCTCCTGCCTCCTGCGTGCAGACTCGCTCTCCTCGCCTCTCCGAGGACCGGCGTGATGCCAGCCTTCCTTCCGGTCTTGCAGCTCGCCTTGAGGCTTTTCCTTTGCGGCAGTTTGTGTGTCCTGGAAGTGTTCCTGACTTTTCGCGCCGCGGCGCCCTAGACTTGTTCTCCGGCTCCGGCGGCGTGGCTCGCGCGCTCGTCCGGAGGGGCTGCCCGTGGGTCTTGACTTTCGAGGTCGATCGCGGTGCCTCTGAGGACCTCTCTCAGGCTGAGCTTCAGAGTGAGATTCTCGAGCTTGTGCGGGCCGGGGCTTTCAGTGTCGTCGGCGCCTCTCCGCCCTGTGCTTCTCTGAGTCGCGCCGCTGTGCCAGCCCCTCGGTCTGGACCACCTCAGCCCGAGCGCTCTTGTCAAGGTCTCTGCCGACAATCGCCGGGCCGCTTGGCTGAAGGCTCTTCGTGACAGCGCTACTCCAGCCGGAGCTCTCCACTGGGTCGCGAACCCTGACACCTCCTTTCTGTGGCGCCTGCCTGGCTGGGAGAATTCTGCTGCTGCTGATTCTCCGCACGTGTTCCGGGTTGTGCAGATGTCGCTGCCCTTGGCGAAAACGGACCCGCATCGCTACTGATTGCGCCCTCGCCGGAGCCCGCCTCCTTTGCAATCTCGGCAACCATCTCAGGCTCCGAGGCTTCTCGAAGTTCCACCGCAAGCCCTGGACTTTAGCTGCCAAGAGCTTTCCCAGAGGCCTGTGTGAGGCCCTTGCTTTGGCCTTGTGTGCCGGGGCCGGTTGGACTCAGGACCGTGCCCTTGACCCTGTCGCCTGTGCCAAGCTTCCTCCTTGCTGCCGGATCGGCGAGGCCTCCCTTCCTGGCCCTCGTCCGCCCCGCGCTCGACCGCCCATTCCCGGTGGACTTTCCCATGCTCCTTGCCATGGCTCTGCGCTCCTATGGGGATTACCTCTACCAAACTGGTGGGTCGCTGCAAAATTTCAGGTACACTGTCGTCGCGGCCCAGCGGCTCACGTGGGCGATGAAAGGCCAACTCGGGCCTGCCTGGGAAATGGTGTCTCGGTGGGAACGTGTCCAGCCGGTCGTGCACCGTACCCCTGTGCCGGAGATTCTCGTGCGAGCACTGGTGGCTCTGGCCTGGTCGATGAACCTGCGAGGTTGGGCCGCTGTCACTATGATAGCCTTTTACGGACTGGCTCGGATCGGCGAGGTCCTGAAGACTTCCCGCGAGTGCCTCCTTCTTCCTGATGACCACTTAGGAGGTTTCTGCGCGATCTTTGTCAAGCTCGTTGGGCCCAAGACTGCAGGCCGCGGTGGGCCCCGCACCCAGCATTTGAGGATCGACTTCGCTCCCGCTGTCGAGCTGATCTCCGCCGCCTGTGACGGCCTTACCTGGGAGGAGCCGGTCTATCCTTTTGGGCCTTCTTCGTACAGACGGCGATGGGACATGCTGCCGGGGATCCTCGGTTTGGACCGGTCGGCACTCACCCCCGGTGGGCTGCGCGGGGGTGGTGCCGTCTGGGCCTATCACCATGGTACAGCCATAGCTGACATACAATGGCGTATGCGGCTGAAGCACCAGCACACCTTGGTGCACTACCTGCAGGAGGTCGCCGCCCTCAACGCGCTGCTTGAAGCCGGACCGGACTCCCGCATCCGCCTCCGACAAATCGCTGCGCTTTTTCCTTTTGTTATTCTCAGCAACTGACGCGTCTCTCTCGCTGCTGCCGAGCTTTGGCAAACGAGCCGCGGACTCGCCGTGTGCTCCTACTCACGGCCGGTTCTTACACATACGTGGTTACATGTACAGCCCTCTTCGAGGCCACGAACTTTCTGTCAGGCCTCGGCTTTTCGGGCTTCAGCCCTTTCGCCTCCGCGACTTTTGGCTGCTGTACATGCTGAGCTGTGTGATCTATGGAACCGAGCAGCGGTGCAAAAACAGGATGCTTAGCAGGGAGAAGAGGAGCCGCAAACATGCTACATGTAAGGTTGGCCTGCCAGTTGGGCTCGTTCTGCATGGTGCATGTGGGAATCACAGAATTCACCTAGCATGTCTGCATCTGCCACACAGTAAGAGGGTCAGTACAGTGACTCGTCCGCGATCTGCGGCGGAAGAGGTCTGGAGAGACACGCTGGAGTCCCTGGATATACAACTGCAGGAGGCTCCACAAGACGCCACTCTCCTGATTGGTGGGGATTTCAACCAGGACCTGCATGCCGCTTCGGACTCTTTCTCGGGAATGGGATTGTTGAGAGCTCTCATGCAGAAGTATGCGTTGGGGGTTCACCGGTCGGTAGGTGTTACATGGACAGCACGTGGGGCGGAAAGTGAAATTGACGCAGTGCTTTTCCGGGTATGTTATAGTCGAGTACACGGATATAAGAGAGATGACATGCGAGTTGCTCTCCCCTCTGACCATGCACCGGTGTTCCTCACAGTCGTAACTCCTGCACCCCTGCTTTGTCGAGGGACCCGCCCCCGCACCCGATGTGGCCGATGGCTCCCCAGTGTGGAGGAGATAGAAGCTTACGCATCCTCTGGGGAATCTTTCCGTCCGTCTTGGCTGTCCGAACTTTGTCAAAAGGACCGTAGGGTCCCCTCGCTGCGGTATAAGGACTCCCCGGAGCTCAAGGCCCTCATTGGCACACGTCGATCCTGTCAGGACCCCCAGACTAGGGCTCACATGCTGTCCGAAATCCGCGCAACACGAACGCGGGACCGGCACCAACATCAGCTGGATATACTGCAACGTGCCCGGGAGGGCGACCGACAGGCCATCACGTATCTGCGTAAGAGTGCAGCACATGCTTCCTTTGAAACTAGCTACATTGAGCAGCGAGGAGGCCAACAGGCTGCCGGCCTTGAACTGCGGCGCTTCTATGACCGTAAATATGCCTCGCTTCTCCCGCCGCCCACCGAGGAGTCGATCCAGCGCATGATCGACACGCACACCTCGGTCAGACCCGTGCCTTTCACTAAGGACGACCTGGACAAGGCGGTTGCTAAGTGTAAGCCCCGCACTAGTGCTGGACTGGACGGCGTGTGTTACGAAGCCATCAAGGCGTACCATAGGGTTGATAGGGAAGGTCGGCTTCTTCAGTTCATGAACAGGCTCCTCTTTCGACAAGAGCCGCTCCCAGAGGAGTGGTATGAGGCCAAAGTGGTCTTGCTCCCCAAGCTCCCTCAACCAATGGGGCCCGGTGACCTCAGGCCCATCTGCTTGTCCCCCTGCCTGTCAAAAATATTTGGCAGGCTACTTATGAGCAGAGTCGCCAACAAATGTCCTCCGTACCAGAGCGGTCAGATGGGCTGTCGGCCCAGAACCCAGACTGTTGATGGAATCCTGGCTGCCCAGACAATCATAGGTGTGCTGCGTAGGAAGCATCAGGTGGAAGCCCATGTGGCCAAGCTTGATATTCGGGCTGCGTTCGACAGCCTCTCCCATGCCTCGATAGTTCATTACTTCCTCCATTGTGAGGTATGCCCTGAAATCCTTCTGCTCTGGCGTTTGTGCTCCCAGAATCGCCTATTGATGAGCCTAGGTACGGACTCGTGGCGTACTGACGTTCGACAGGGGATCATGCAGGCAGTAGCTATTCGGCTGATCTCTTCTCCAGGTCCATTGACTTCCATTTGCGAGGTCTGCAAGCCAGGTGGAATACGGAGTTTCCGAGATGGGCAGACCAAATTGAGCTGCCGCACTTTCTGCTCTATGCAGATGACATTATGCTTTTTGCCATGGACGCGAGGGAACTGCAGATCAAATTGCGAGATCTGACGGACACCCTGGCGGCCATCGGGCTGTTTGTCAACCCAGCCAAGTGCAGTGTCCTTAATGTGGCGGGGACCACTCCAGGGGTTTGGATGCGGGGGGCGTGTACGCCACTGCAAGGCAGGGATCGTCTCATGTTCCTTGGGGTGCCTCTTGCGCACACTAATGCACCGGACATGGTCCTCATGCACCCGCTTCGAAAGATGACTAATTCTTTCTTTGCTATGAAGAAGATCCTTGACAAGCCCACAACACCCCACCGTATTAAGGCGGTCCTCTTTGATTCCTACATCAGCTCCAAATGGCAATGGTGTAGTTCAGTGATTTGGCCTACGGTCCGTGCACTGAAAAGCATCGAAGGGCTTAAGAATTCCTTGCTTTTGGGGGTCTTCCGGTTCGGACGGGACCCCTTCAGCACGTGGCTTGAAAATGTTCAGGGATGCCGCAGGGCGCTTAATGTCTACTGCCAGCAGTTTCGAGGACCACAGTGGCAGGTTGCTTGGCTTACTCGCATCTGGACGTACTTTGGTCACCTGGCTAGGTCTAGCGAGGACACTCCGCTCCGACGCATGCTTCGGACCATGGGCAGTCACCGCTTGGCCACAGGGGTCTTAAAACCGTCGTGGCTTTCAGAGACCCCTTTCCATAAGTTCAGGCTCGTTTATCAGCAGTTACAGGAGCTGGGAGAGATGCCGCACTGGGAATGGCAGGCTGCCGACCGCGGCATGGGCGGCCATGCTACCTAGATGGCTGCAGTACTGGCATGCCTCGACCCCGCACCCCACTACCACCGAACACCTGGCAGGTCGGCAACTCGTAGTTGGAGGCATCTCGGCTCTTCGAGTCCGCCGCGACGCACTGGAAGGTATGTACCGTGTGGGGCTTGTCTCCCTCAAGCCTTGGAGAGCGAACAACAGGACTTCCGTCACCTTTTGGGTGACACATGCACCCGGCAGCCTCGTTGCATGCATTTACTGTTTCCGAGCAAAGGTTCGGCCACATCATGCCACAGTACTACATGTCCGACTTAGGTCTTCAGAAGGGAGGGCTCCTTGCAGCTTGACGGTTTTGCTTTCAATGTGTGAACTTTTGCGGTTGCATGATGTCACCAATCCCAACCCCCTCCAACAGGCTGTGGTTGTACTCCCTCCCCACCTGTTGCAGAAACACCTGTTGGAGGGGACTGCGGATGCACACGATGCTGATGCTGCGAAGTTCACCAGGGTCTCTGAGGAGGTCGATTTGCTATCGCGGGCTACAGTCTGCCCCAAGCGGCTGCCGGATAGGTGGGCGGTGCAGCTCGGGTTTGCACCCCCTGTGCTTCCGGAGGGCTGGGATTTCTTGTTTCGCACCGCCGATTTCCATCAGGCCCAGTACTTTTCGGAGTTAAGGTCGGCTCTCCTTGTTCTCCTTCGGCCTCAGCTACTTGAGGTGTGACTCCGAAGACTTCCGGCCCGAGAGCCTCTGTTTTTGACTTGGCCTCTCCCTACTCATTCCCTCTCGCGGGGAAGGGGGGGGGGGGGCAGGGCGGACAAACAATGGCTCCCAAGCGCCCACACCTCGCTGCAGAAATCAAGGCTCTCCAGCTCCTGGAGTCGGGTGACTTTGTCACCAAGCCACAAGCACTCGAGGTGCTCAGGCTGATACCGACGGCGGAGTGGACCAGAAAGCAGGGAGGACTCGCGCTTACCTTTGGCAGCTTCCAGCGAGCCCGCTCAGGGATGAGGTCTTCCAGCCGAAGATACCCCCTCACCACCAGATTGATGACGCGACTTGTGCGCCACTGGTCACCTGGCACTGCCTTCACTACGATCACAGTGTTGGACAATGTTATGACTACTCCCCATACCGACTGCCACAACTCAGAAGTGCCTGGGGTCCTCTTGGCTCTCACTCGAGACTACACTGGTGGGGAGCTATGGCTGGCACATGACCTTGGAGACACTCGCATGCTTTGCAATGGTGTGTCCAAGCGGGGGATCAAGATCGATGTCACTACTCCATTTCAGTTCTCGGCCAGAAGTATCATGCATGCGACGTGTGCTTGGCAAGGGGACCGGGTTGTCCTGTCTGCCTACAGCACATCCCGCAGCACGGCCAACCTCTCCGATGAGCTGCACTTCAGCTTGACCTCTTTCGGCTTTCGACCCCCCACGACGGAGGAGGAAGATCGCTTCCGGCACGAGATTTGGGGGGCCACGGTCACCCGGCAGCTTCGCCTTGACTCCAGACTGGTGTGGCCACGGGGGGTGCTTCTGCACCATGCTCCCGTCACGATCGATCTGGAGGACACCTGTCCCGCTACCATCCCGATCAGCTCGGACACGGAGTCGGATGTCATTAGCATGTGCATGGGGGCAGCCAGCCCTGAGCCCGATTATTGGGATTGTGTTCTTTCTGATCCTGATTAGGCTGTTGATGCTGATTCTTTGAGAAAGTGGTCTGGCTGCCTGAATTAGGGGCTTGTAGCTAGCATCGGGTTGTGGGCAATCCGCCGACCTGCTGCAGCTGGGCTCGCGACTTGACCACTCTCTGTAGGAGCACCGGTCGACATACATGTTTTTCCTTGTTTTCTGTGCCTTGGCAACCATGCTGGGCCTCGCAGTACTATGCATGACTATGTGCACCATACGTACAGGTCGGAATTCAATGCGTGTGTATCAGGCCACAGTGACGCAGCTACTGGAGGTACAACACCAACAACAAGATCTGCTACGCCAGCTGCGTGGGGAGATAGCAGACCTCAGACAGCGCCACGGTGACTCTCTAGATGCACTGTACCATGGCCTCCAGATACGCAGCCGCTTGGGGTCGTTGGATAACACCCACTCTATGGTTCGGGAGATACACTCGCGGCTACCAAACTTCGCTGAGATCCAACATGTCAGCCACTTGCGAGGGCAACTGCAAGATCTGACGGACATGGTCCGTTCCC